AACCTACAGCGGGTCAATTAGTTCTTCAAATGTTACCTTTAAGTTAATTTTATAGTTTTGTGATATTAAAAATGCTAATATATTGATATTTTTCTAGTTTTGATTTACGTTCGCTTGTTTAGCGTCGTCACAGTTGCTAGGTGACATCACGTACGCCAGGGTAAGGAGGGGAGGCTAGACCGTCCAAATTCACAGCCTCTTTTTTTCCGGTCTTCCCGGTCTACCAAGGACCCGGCCCGCCGAGACCCGGCCTGTCATTTTGGACACAGCCAACGTTGAAGCAGATTAGCTGTGGAGGCCATCTTGAACCAGGTTAGCTGTCGAGGCCATCTTTCACCAGGTTAGCTGTGGAGGACATCTAGAACCAGCTTAGCATTGGAGACCATCTTGAACCAGGTTAGCTATGGGGGACATCTAGAACCAGGTTATCAGTGGAGGACATCTAGAACCAGGGTTAGCAGTGGAGGCCATCTTGAAGCAGGTTTGTTGTGAAGACCATCTTTAACCAGGTTAGCTCTGGATACCATCTTGAACCAGGTTAGTTGTGATGGCCATCTAGAACCAGGTTGTGAAGGCCATCTTGAACCAGGTTAGTTGTGAAGGCCATCTTGAACCAGGTTAGCTGTCTGAGCCATCTTGAAACAGTTTAGCTTTGGAGACCATCTTGAAGCAGGGTAGTAGTGGAGACCACCTTGATCCAGGTTAGCTGCGGAGGCAACATTGAACCAGGTTAGCTGTGGAGACTAACTTGAACCAGGTTAGCTGTGGAGACCAACTTGAATCAGGTTAGCTGTGGAGACCATCTTGAACCAGTTTAGCTGTGGAGACCAACTTGAACCAGGTTCACTGTGGAGGCCAACTTGAACCAGGTTAGCTGTGGGGACCATCTTGAATCTGGTTAGCTGTGGCAGCCGTCTTTAACCAGGTTAACTGTCGGAGCCATCTTGAAACAGGTTAGCTGTGAAGACCATCTTAAACCAGGTTAGCTGTGGCAGCCATCTTGAAGCTGGGTAGTAGTGGAGACCACCTTGATCCAGGTTAGCTGTGGAGGCAACGTTTTACCAGGTTAGCTGTGGAGGCCATCTTGAACCAGGTTAGCTGTGGAGATCAACTTCAGGGATAGACATAACCATTGTTGGTTGGGTGTTCGTCATTTGTAAAAATGAAAGGGAGAAAAAACTTGGTAAAGCCAAACAGAACACTAAACTGTAACTTTTAATAAGGTCATGTACACAGGATACTCCTGTTTAAGTGAAAATATTTGACCTATGAGCAGAAAAAAGTTTATGAATGTTGGGTAACCTCTAGATTTTATTAGCAACATTTTTGCTGCTTTACTCCCTGAGCCTTAAATACTTTATTTCAAAGAAGAGAATGAGGAAGTTTTATTAACGCAGCTCCTGTCAACCTGTCTGACTGAGAACAATTAAATATAATAAACTTTTTCTACAGAACAATATACTTGTTAAATTACATTTTTCTTGAGATTCTTTTGGACAACCAAAATGTTTTGCGGACAACCAGGTTTTGTCAACAAAATATCCTTATGTCTACCCCTGAACTTGAACCAGGTTCATTGCGGAGGCCATCTTGAACCAGGTTAGCTGTGGAGACCATCTTGAACCAGGTTCACTTTGGAGGCCATCTTGAACCAGGTTAGCTGTGGAGATCAACTTGAACCAGGTTCACTTTGGAGGCCATCTTGAACCAGGTTCACTTTGGAGGCCATCTTGAACCAGGCAAGCTGTGGAGACCATCTTGAACCAGGTTAACATTGGCAGCCATCTTGAAGCAGGGTAGAAGTAGAGACCACCTTGATCCAGGTTAGCTGTGGAGGCAACGTTGAACCAGGTTAACTGTGGAGACAATCTTGAACCAGGTTAGCTGTGCAGACCAACTTGAACCAGGTTCACTGTGGAGGCCATCTTGAACCAGGTTAGCTGTGGCAGCCATCTTGAAGCAGGTTATGTTTGGAGACCATCTTGAAGCAGGGTAGTAGTGGAGACCACCATGAACCAGGTTAGCTGTGGAAGCCATCTTTAACCAGGTTACCTGTGGTGGAGGACATCTAGAACCAGGTTAGCTGTGGAGGCTATCTTAAACCAGGTTAGCTGTGGCAGCCATCTTTTAACAGCTTTACAGCGTGTAAGTTTTGCAATTTAAAAACCCGTGAATGGCTTTCTGAAACGAATTATGTTAATTAGTTAAACTTTTATTGAGCTCCATTTTTTATTTGCCTTTTCCCAACGTTTCTACTTCTACAGAACTGATGTTGGACAGAGAGATCTGTAGCAGATAAACTAACTACATATCCTTGTTTTTTTATACAACAGGTTTTGTTTATTCAAGACAGATTCTTCACGTTTTCTCACAATGTTTACGAAAAAGGTCAAACTGGACTTGGAGGCTTTCTCCTGTTCGGTGTGTCTGGGTCTCCTGAAGGATCCGGTGACTATTCCCTGTGGACACAGCTACTGTATGAGATGTATTAAAGAGTTCTGGGATGGAGAAGGTCACAGGAGAGTCTACAGCTGTCCTCAGTGCAGGAAGAACTTCGCACCAAGACCACTTCTGGTAAAAAGCACCATGTTAGCAGAGTTAATGGAGGAGCTGAAGAAGAGTGACCAACAAGCTGCTCTGTGCTATGATGGAGCTGAAGATGTGTCCTGTGACGTCTGCTCTGTCAGGAAACTGAAAGCTGTCAAGTCCTGTCTGGATTGTTTGGCCTCTTATTGTGAAAAACACCTCCGACCTCACCATGAAGCTCCACCATTACAGAAACACCAGCTGGTGGAGCCCTCCAAGAAGCTCCAGGAGAACATCTGTCCTCGTCATGATGAGGTGATGAAGATCTTCTGTCGTACTGATCAGCAGTGTATCTGTTATCTCTGCTTAATGGACCAACATAAAGAACATGAAACTGTCTCAGCTGCAGCAGAAAGAGCTGAGAAGCAGAAGGAGCTGGAGGAGATCCGACAACAAATCCAGCAGAGAATCCAGGAGCGAGAGAAAGATGTGAAGCTGCTCCAACAGGAGGTGGAGGCCATCAATGTCTCTGCTGATAAAACAGAGGAGGACAGTGAGAAGATCTTCACTCAGCTGATCCGTCTCATCCAGAAAAGAAGCTCTGATGTGAAGCAGCAGCTCAGATCCCAGCAGGAAACTGAAGTGAGTCGAGTCAAAGAGCTTCAGGAGAAGCTGGAGCAGGAGATGACTGAGCTGAAGAGGAAAGACGGCCAGCTGGAGCAGCTCTCACACACAGAGGATCACAACCAGTTTCTCCACAACTACCCCTCAGTGTCAGCACTCAGTGAGTCTCCACACTCATCCAGCATCAAGACTCGTCCTCTCAGATACTTTGAGGACGTGACGGCAGCTGTGGACCAGCTCAGAGACAACATACTGGACGTCCTGTGGGACTCTGAAGTGCAGGTTTTACTAACAAATCCAGAACCAAAGAGCAGATCTGAGTTCCTCAAATATTCACAGGAACTCACTCTGGATCCAAACACAGCTCACAAACAGCTGGTTTTATCTGAGGGGAACAGAAAAGCAACATTAATGGAACAACAACAGTTTTATCCTGATCATCCAGACAGGTTCACTGATTATATTCAGGTTCTGAGCAGAGAGAGTCTGAGTGGTCGTTGTTACTGGGAGGTGGAGTGGAGCGGCAGAGCTGCTTATTTTTCTGTTTCATATAAAGATATCAGGAGAGATGGGGATCGTAGTGATTGCAGATTTGGATGGAATAACACATCCTGGGCCTTACGATGTGTCTCAGACTGGTATTCATTTTGGCACAATAACACCAGCAGTCCAGTCTCAGTTCCTGGTTTCTCCAGGATCGGAGTGTACCTGGACCACACAGCAGGTGTTCTGTCCTTCTACAGGGTCTCTGACACCATGACCCTCCTCCACAGAGTCCAGACCACCTTCACTCAGCCGCTCCACGCTGGAGTTGGACTTGTAGATTTTGGAACAACAGCTGAGCTCATTAGAACCCAACAGTGACTGGAATCATGTTTGTTTGATGTTTTAGGTCACGATTTTAACTCTCCTGATCCCCCATCAGTTCCCACTCAATCAGTTCCAGTTCAGAGTTTGTGTTGAGAAAAACTTTCGTGGATCATTCTGACCTGAGACCAGCAGGAGGGTTCAGAAGACTTTTAGAACATTTTAGAATTGATGACCTTCAGGTGTTTCTTGTGTTTGTTGATGAAACAAAGTTAACAGATGTCGGCCATGTTGGTATTGTTTTTAAAAAATTGGGGAAATATGTTGGAGGCAGAGCCAGAACTCTGCAGGGATTTATATCCTCTCTGGACTGGGAATACTTTGGGATCCTCCAGGAGGAGGTCTGGTTTTCTCTACTGGACCTGGTACCTCTGGAACCCGATGGATCAGCTGCAGGAGCAGATGACTCAGAAAGATGCTAGTTCTAAATTATGTTTATGTTTTAATATTTGTTTAGTTTCATTAATGGTGTTCTGTATTGTTGCTTTGTAGTGAGTTAGATTTAATTCAATAAATTGCTCAGTGCTGCTGTTATCATTTAAATGACTACTATAATTATTTGTCATAATTATATATTATATCAAAGGATGTTGTTTTGCAGTATGATCCAACTTTTATTTCCTACTTCTACAAACTCAGATATTTTTGTAAGCAGTTACTGGTTACAAAATCTAATATTTAGCTACAAAGATGCATTAAGTTGAACATATTAAACAATGCATATTATTTTTATTTAGGTTTGTATGAATTAAGTCTATGAATGAAAAGCCTGGAATTCGATAAATAAATGCAAATCACTGCAAGTTCCCACCTAATCTTTACAACTCTTCGCTTTTATCACAACAAATTTCAGCTCCTTCACTGTACAGTTACACTGTTTTTAGGTGCATTAGCCATGGTGGCTGTTTTGAATTTAAATCAACTCCAAAAGCAAAAAGGTTCTAGATGTGCGTTCACTAAATACTTCCTCAGAACATCATTAAATACTGGGCAGTGGTTTAAAATTAAACTTAAAAATTAAGAGTTCATTAAAATGTTTTAAAGGTGTTCATGTTTCAACACTTGAGGGCGGTAAAGCGCATAAAATGAACATTTTTGTCCTTCCTGTGTTTCCGTATCGCCCCTCCCCCTCCGTGACGTCGTGTTTTTGTGCTGAGAAGGAGGTGAGTTTGTGGAGAAACGACGCTTGTTTTGAAGTTTGTTTCTTATTTATTCATTTGACTCAACTTTATGAAATTCTTCAGCTCGTTTCCATCCCGTCCAGTCTTCACGTCCGGGTCAGTTTTTCATATTTGTTGTTTAAACTCGGTTTTTTATAAACTTTTAGCGAGTCGAGGGGTCTCTTTGTTTTACCCCCACCGAGGTCACGTGATCCGTTCAGCAAACTGTTCAAATTTAGATATAAGTAGTTATTGTGCGTGAAAAAACTACAGGACAAGTCTAAATATATAGTTAGCGTTTTTTTTACCATAAATATATTAAATTTGCTCTGAGTTTATTCAGTCTGTTGGTTTCATGTTTTGTAAACAATACTGATCAAAACTCTGGACACACCTTGTTCAGAGAGTTTGTCTTTATTTTCATGACTAAAAATTGTAGATTCACACTGAAGGCATCAAAGCGATGAATTTAACACAAGTGTGAAACAACTGAAAATATGTTTTGTATTCTATGTTCTTCAAAGTAAAAACATTTTACTTTGATTACTGCTTCACTGTTGATGAGCTTCAACAGGAGTCACCTGAAATGGTTTTCACTTCACAGTAGAGTTGAGCTATATTGGCAAAAAATTTATCACAATTAATTGTGGTATTTAGTCGATAACGATTAATTTGACGATTAATCCCCTGAAGGCCCTTATGGCTACGTTCACACTGCAGGCCAATCTGACCCAAATCCAATTTTTTTGACCCATCTGACTCGTATCCGATTTTTTTATGACAGTCTGAACGAGACAAATCCGATTTTTTTATGACAGTCTGAACGAGACAAATCCGATTTTTTCAAATCCGACCAGGGCCGTTTCAGTATGTGGTTTTAAATCGGATATATATCTGATGTTTTCAAAGTGACTGCAGTGTGAACGCTCATGTCTCATTC